CCACCTGGGAAGATCTCTGGGTAGCAAGATGTTGTTGGAGATGTCTACATGGGGCTTTCACTGCCTCTGCAATGCATTGGGTTGTGTCAGTGCTCCCAGCACAGCTTCCTGTGCCTGCCCAGGAGCATGGCTGCAGAGATGGGGTGGCTGGGAGGGGATGCTGAGCCGTGCCTCAGTTTCCCCTTCTCGGTGCTCAGCATTGGGAGCCGGTGGGCCAGCTGAAGGGCAGTGAGGAGGTGGTGAGTGGTGTTGGGCTGGCTTGCCAGCATTTGGGGCTGTGCAGCACGCTCCGGCTGGCTGCCCTTCCCGCTGGGGTGGCTATTTATCAGGAAGGAAGCTGTCAGGGAGGGATGAGCATCCTGAGCCGGCTCAAGCCATCAGATCTCTGTCAAGGATTTGGCCTGGACTTTTATTACCTGTCCCTCTTGTCACTTTTGTGTGAGAGGAAGCAGGGACATAGGAGGTACCTGGTGACTTTGGGACTGTCACATCTGCTGCAGGGGGGACAGTGCAGCTTGTGACAAGCCGGTGTCATTAGCGCTGGCCTCCAAGGCTGCTGCCAGTCGGGATTTACTGCCCACGTCCCTGGGACCATCCGTGCTGCCCCTCATCCAGAGCATGGCTGAGGCATGGCCCAGAGCTCAGCACCGCTCAGGATGCGTCCCTGGGCAAGGAGCTACTATCTCATCTCCTTCCTTGCCACGGGGAGGGGGGAAACGCTGCGGCAGCGCTAATTGCAGAGGGCTCTTGCTTTTGGCAAGCAGGCTGCCAATCACCCCGTGCTCCCCTGCTCCTGCCGCAGCGCCGGGCATCGCTTCGGCTGTGTCACGGTTTGCTCTGACATGGGCCCGATGCCTGGACCACACCAGGGCAGTGATGAGCAGTAATTGGGTCCCCCCCATCCCACCACCGTGGTGGAGGCGTTGAGTGCCTCTGCAACCACCTAAGGAAGAGCTCGGGTGCTGAGACCTTTCAGGTGGAGACAGATCTGCCAGGTGTTGATTTTTGCTGGCCGTGGGCTTGATCTGCAATCACAGGAACCATTTCTCAGCTGGGGTAAAGTGGTAAATTGGCAGCACCTTGCCAGCTTGTACCGGTCACAGGTGGGAGGCAGGAGCTGCGGGATGACCCCAAGAGTGTTTTGAGAAGCACTGGTCTGTAGGTATCATCTCAGAGGGGGCTGACATGCACTTTTAGAGGTGCTTAAATGCATTTTTAAGTCTGCCCACTGCAGGCATGGCTGGTGCCTGGCCAAGGTGGCTGCAAACGCAGGATGCTGCTGGTCTGTGTGTGCCGAGAGGTCCCCTCCATCCCCACAGGAACAGCATTGCATGAGCTGCTGCTGGCAGCCTGTGGTTCCTACGGGGTCTGTTCTGGCTTTGCTTTAGTTTGGGAAAGGGCACCTGCATCCCCAGCCAAGTGAATTCGGAGTAAGAAAGGAGTCACTGCAGAGAGTGGATGTTTGTTGCAGGTGATGGCACCAGGAATAACACTGCAGCTCCTGATGTGCCAGTACTCACATCACCACTGAAGCCCACCTCCCCTCATTATTCCCCTCATAGAATCATAGAATGGTTTGGGTTGGAAGGGACCTCAAAGATCATCTAGTTCCAACCCCCCTGCCATGGGCAGGGACACCTCCCACCAGAGCAGGTTGCTCAAAGCCCCATCCAGCCTGGCCTTGAACACTTCCAGGGATGGGGCATCCACAACCTCCCTGGGCAACCTGTTCCAGTGTCTCACCACCCTCACAGCAAAAAATTTCTTCCTGAGATCTAATCTGAATCTTTTTTCTTCCAATTTAAAACCATTTCCCCTTGTCCTATCATTACCCTTCCTGGCAAAGAGTCCCTCGTAGTGCTTACTTTTCTGGTTTTCTCCAACTTTGTCATTTTCAAGGGTTCTTTGTGTATTTTCCCCAGCTCCTTTCACCTCCTCATCTGAGTGGCTGTGTGTGTGGGCAGCGTACTTCAGTAGTGATTGCAATAGCGATGAAGGATGTTTTTGATGTCAGGGCTGGCCAGGGAGGTGGGGAATGTTGTCTTCTCTATCGCCGTCACGCTGATGTGCTGCTAGCAGCACCCCCTTCTCATCTTCCCACCTCCTGGGAGGCAGCATGTGATGCCTTCCTTGCATTCACGAGGGCTGCTGCTGCTCGCTCCAGATCAGCTTGTTGCGCGGCGTCAAGAGCAACACATCCCCTTGACAGCACGTCTGCAATTACTGGGAGACATTTTTGCCTGTAGCTCCACATCCCTCCTGCAGTTTCAGCAATAACAGCTTTGTCTTGGGTATTTTACCCAATTTCTTGCAATCAGGGGACTTAGGCAGCTATTTTTGGCTTAGAACCTGGTCATCATGAGAAAGAATTTGAGCGCTTTTCTCGCTTTATCTGCCCAGGCTTTTTGCTGCGCTGCCACCATTCTCTGCAGCAAGTGCTATGGGCTGACACTTGGTTAGTCCTGGGGTGAATGATGGATGTCAGTGGTTTAGGACCACCACGAGGTCTTATGTGGTTTCTCCCTGATGCCCTGTGGTGCTGCTGCTGCTGCCGCCTGGCCATGATGCCTTCCCCAGTGGTTTCCCTGCCAGCGGGACCTGCCCTCCCATGAGGAGTCCTGGCATCTGGAGCGCAGGTCTCACTGACGTCCCCCTTCCACAGGGCAACCTCTGGGACCAAAATCTGATAAATAGCCCGTTTACAAGTGCAAATCCTGGAGTTCTTGAGGTCCCAGGAGGCTACCAAAACCCTGCTGATGCATCTGCTCTGCTGAAAAACGTGGCTTCTGCTATCACAGCTCAGCTCCTGCTCCCTGAGCAAGTGGAAGTGCTGCTGGGCTGTCTCCCTTTAGGGCTGAGGCTGCCAGGGCTCAGCCCCCCATTTTGTATGTGCCCCTGCAAGCTCAGCATCACCCTGCTGCCTTCTGCCAGGTAGGTTTTAAGCTTTTAAAGCACAATCATGAGACCTAACGGACAATCGGATAGGGGCAGAAACATCATTTTGTGGGAGCCCCCCAAAACTGTTTCCTTGAAGAGATCCTTTCTACCTCATCATAGCTACTTTGTGTTTGTGTTTTCCAAGCATTTTTTACCACATTAATGATTACAGTGAAACAGGATTCTTATTGGCAGCACAAATCACCCTTTCAAGATGACACCAGCACTTACGGTCTTATTACTGTCATTAACAAGATTATTATTATGACTTTGCCATGCTCTCCCTTTCTAAAGGAAGCAATTCAAATCCAAATATTCTGGCCTAAAAATATTCCATCCTCATTTGCCTCTCTAACCAAAAAAGAGGTCACACCAGCCTTTCTGGGTAATAGAAGAGCATCTTTCTCTGGATGTACTTTTGCTGTGTTTTAGGTTATCAACCACACTTCTCAGGCTTGTGTTTTCCTAATTGTTCATCTGTGGAATTCAGGTGTCTCGGAGCTCAGCAGTGGACTCCAGTCTTCTGCAGCCTCTCCCTGCTTTGCTGGGTGGGTATGGAGCCAGGGTCTCCAGCTGTGGAGAGCAGCAAGCATTGCTCTGTGGAAAGCTGCCACTACCAGATGTTGGCCAGGTGTCACCCAGTGTGATCTGCCCAAAACACCTGAAGGTAATCCAGGGAATTGATCCCAACATATCATTTAAGAAGAGATGCCTCTCTCCTTTTACCTGAGCTTCAGGATGCCATCAGCCCCATCCATCGAGTGGGCTGGATTTTTGGCTATCCTGAAACTAGCTGCCAGACAGCAAAAAAGGGAGCTGACAGGGTGTTTGTCACAGATGGGACTGTCCTCGCCAGGCTGAAGGTAGCTGGATGATAGGGTACTCAGGAGAGGACACATTGTTCCTCGTCTTGGCTGTTATGGCTTTACAAATGACTATTCCAAGCTGAGTTCCAAAATGGTGTCGTGGCTTTCGCTGCTGTCATCAATTGCCATCAACACTGCATTTAGCTGACATAATTACTTATTGTTACAATCAGTGCCCATTAGGTTAAAGCTAAATTACAGTCTCAGTCCTTGGGAACTGCCTATTACATCCATATGAATACGCAAAGTTCATCACTCATGATTAACGTTGCTACAGTGAATACAAAAGGAATTAGTGAGGACCTGTCACTTATTGTAAAGTGCTGCCAGATTATGGTATCAGAAATGATGTGTCAACTGTTAAAACTTAATAATCCATGCTGGAGTGCTGTATCTGATTATAACACTGATCAAAGGAGAGGCCTGATTGGCACTCGGAAACCGAGGCTGGGTGGTTATGAGACCGATAACCTACATGGGTCAGGAGTCGTTGACCACACGCCGGAGCCGTGGCTCGGTGTGCTCACCCCCTAGCCCCAGGAGCCACAAGGGGCTGAGGACCCTCCTGGGTGCATGTGCTTTGATGCTGGTGTGGTCAGGAAAAGATCTATGGGTCCGTGGTCCATGGACATGTGTTTGAGCCAGGAGGATGGATGCGGCTCCCAGCCAGGAGCCTCCTTATTCTGGCAGGAGAGCCTGGGAATCCCAGGCTGAGATTCGGTCGCCCTCCACTCTGGCTGATGGTGTGAATCACTCTGCTACAGCCAGGATTGCCATTTCCAGACCCTGTCTCTTACACTGATGGCACCTGAGTGGAGTTTGGGAGCAAATTTCCCCAAATGTGGGGTGGGAGGACCTGGGAGGTCTCCCTGTCTGGTTGCGTTAATTTCCATGGGGGAAAAGCAGTGTGCAATTATGTATGTATTGGTGAATGTTTATATATGTGAGTATACATGTGTGCATGTGTGTGTGAATCTAGAAAAACTCCTAAGATTTTCTTTTGATGTTGCTCAAAGGGATTGTCTGATTTTTCTAATTTGAAAAGACTTTTTGTTTTGAAATTGGGTTTTTTGCATTTTTCTTTCAAAGTCTTGAGACTGAAGAAGATATTTTACTTAACCTCAAACACTGTAATGCTGTTTTTTTCTTTTTTTTTTTCTTTCTTTTTTTGTTTTGTTTTTTTTTTTTTTTCCTTAGAAGCATCCTACAAGCAAACACAAAGACCTGTTGTTGACCTCTGCTAAGGATGTCGTCCTGGGAAGAAGAGCTGAACCACACAGGCTGAAGCACATGGCCTTGACAGAGGTTGGGGGGCTGTAAATCTGCAGCTGGCCCCTGCTAACCCCTCAAGGCAGGCTCTGGCTGAACCAAGCGACGGCACAGACCCTCCAAATAGATGGCATTTTGCTTCTCATCCAGCAGCGTGCCTGGAGCCAGGATGTGGGTAGGTTCTCATCCATGGCTGGGGTTTGTGTGGGACCATTTTTGGGTTGTAAGCCACACACCAAAATCCCGTTTGCTCTTCCTCATAGCGCTTCATTTTTGTTCACGGCTACTGGTTGCAGGTGTTTACCACTGGTCACGGCCTGATTTGCAGCTGACAGCCAGACACTTCATACCAGCACATTTACACGATCCCTTACCAGGTTACACTTCCTGACAGCATTTTGCATCTCCACGAAAGAGTAGTTAAAACTCTTGTAGGTCTTTGGTCAAAGGCTCTGGAACACTTTGCCTGACTTCTGGCAAGTGCCGTGCTTTCTGCTCTTGCTGTCACGATGGCAGTGCCCCAGTAGATGACAGAGGCATATTTGTCCTTTTGATGCAGGGTCATCCTTGCTGCTAGACAGTCCTCGCTGTCTGAGTAGCCAGCAGTAAGGGCTGTTCCTCTGCCTGTGGCCATCTCAGTTGGTGCATGGGAGCTGAAGGTTGCCCTCGTGCCTCCAGGTGGTTTAACCATTTTTGTTCTCCGGGGAAGGTTCATCTCTATTCCTTTCAGCAGATAACTCCCTAACACCTTCTCCACTGAAACGGGATTGCAACATGACCACCTAGACTCACTATTGCTTCTGAGCAGAAAGAAATAGCAGGTCTGGGGGGCTTCCAGGCTACATGATATTTTAGGGATAACAACATAATGTATCATGAGCCACCCTGATTCAAATCCACCCTGATTCCCAGATTCTTTCTTTGTTTTCAGACTCGTTGTTCACTCCTGTCCTTGTGGGTCCTGGAAACACTTGGCAGCAACAATACCAAAGCAGGGGAAGAAAAGCCATTTTCTGGAGATCACCAGCTCTGGAGGGGACTGGGGAAGATCCATTTGCTAGTGATTTCAAAGTCCTTGCTTAAGACCTCTCTGCCACGGTACCTGTTTGAAGGTAAGCCTGGTTGCTGGTGAGCTGTGCTAGTGCTTTCCGTAGCTGTCCACACCATGGGCTGGGCTGCTCCACTTAGATTTCTCTAACCTGTTTGTCCACCATAAATTGACAGGGGTGCATAAATGGGCAGTGCTACAGGGCCATAGTGGGCATATTGATGCTGCTGCCAGTGCGTCTTCTGTGCTTGTGGATGCTCCAGGCCGTGTTCCCAGGCTGCTCTGAGCTTCCCAGCAGCTTTTCCTAGGAGCTCATCTCAGCTTTCTCAGTGGTCATTTAAGCTATGACTTCTTATGCATCCACCACTGACAGCACAAAGAAAAGCCTTTGGCATGTTTGAAGGCATGTTTGTATCGTGTTTCCCATCCTGCGTTTGTTGCGTTTCCCAGATCTCCAGACATCCTCTGCTCTCTCCTCCAGCCTTGCTCCAGCTGTGCTTCATCTTGTTTGGAGGAGCAGTGGCCTTTTTTGCACCAGTCTGAATCTCCTTTTCCCACAATTCAGTGACTCTCAGCTGCTCCTGTCCTCCTTATTGTCACCCCATGTGCTGGGGAGCTGTTGGACAGCCAAAGGAAGAAACCCACCTCTCTTGAATAGCATACTAGCTTATGGTGACCATATCTTCAGTTCTTCAGTTCCCCATTCTGCCTTGCTCTGGGTACACGTGCTGATATATGTGTATGTGCTGTCATGGAGAGCTTGTCCTCTCTGATGTATTAAGGGAACTGATAGCAGTACCAAGGGTCTAAAAAATAGTCTGCAGAACTGGAAGTTTCAGGCAGGCTTTATGTAGTTGTTCCACACTAAGACGTTTCTCTTGCACTGACTCTTAGGGTGAGGTTTTTTTTTATCCCCTTTGTTTCCCTGTGATGGCAAGAGCTAGATTTCTTTCTTTTCCACTGCAGCTCCAGCAAAGCAACGTAACTAAAAACACTTGTTTGGGCTGAACTGAAAACTTAAAACATCTTTGGTGTGAACCTGCAAACAAGAATTCCCAAGTTCCGCTCTGTTCTGGTTCAACTGATGTGTTTGATCTCTGGAAAAAATAATGAAACATTTACTTATCCTAGGCAAACAAAACTCTCTTCAGAGGACCTGAAATGTGATCTGTCATTTCCATTTCAAATCATTTTAAATGTCTGTATAATTTTAAGCATAAAATGGAAAGTGTAACTGGCCAGTCACTGGAAATGGAAATGTTTCTTTTCAAAGCGTTCAAATGAAACCTGTCATTTATTTTCTTGAAAATTTATTCTTCCTGTTTGTTGGCTGGTTTGGAAGTTGGCAATTCATCGAGATGAAGTTGTGCAAAGTTGGCTGCTGCTGAATTTGCATTTTTTTTCCCAGAGGAGGGAGATTTAGAGTGGAAAAAGTTGCTGTGCTGCATCATCAGGAGCTCTGTCCCCCCTTCTGCAGGTCACCCCCGTCACATGGAGGGGCACAGGTCTGTCCTTCCTCACCTCTTCCCCCTCACCAAAGTCCTCAGGTGCCGATTCCTCTCGTCCCCGCTCTGGACATGGGATTACAGCTCCAGCTCCTCTTCCCAGTGCATCATCAACATGTTGTTTCCAGGGTCATAAATTTGCACTGTGATGAGACACAACCAGATGTTAGGATACGTGAAGCGACTGGCGAAGCAGCCTGCCTGGCGCAGCCCCCACCTCCGGAGTCAGCCGCCCGCTAATGAGAAGCAGGTCTCTCGCCTCGAGCTGGGCCAGGACAGACGGAGAGCATCCCCAGGAGCAACCACCGAGCTGCCATCTTGACCCCCTTCCTGCTCTCGGTGCCCGGGGAGCATCTCCAGGGCCAGATTCAGGCGCTTTGGTGGCTATCGGCTTCTGGCGGCCATCTGGAAAGAGAGTTCGGCCTGGTACAGGGGGAAAACACACAAGGCCACGGTCCTCCTTGCTAGCAAGGAAGCTGGTTACAATACTGTGTGATGTTTTGTCATGTAAAAGTACTTCTGAGATGCATGTTTTGGGTCATTTGTGTGGCTGAACAGGCTGGTTTTTAATGGAGAGACACATGGGAAAGCGAGATCTTAGCTCAGGATGCTGAACAGGTGCCCTCTGCCAGGAGCCAGGGTTGACTTGGGGTGCCTGTTTCCAGGTGGCTCCAGTTCACATGTCCCCATGGATCTGAGGTGCTGACGTCCCCTGGGTGGGCAAGGAGCTGAGACTGGGAAAGGTCTAAAAAGCAGGTGAAGGGCTGCTTGTGAGGAATGTATCCCTCGTGGGCTGTGAGGATCCTCGGGATGGCTGCAGCTTTTGGCCAAAGTTCTCTGCTCATGCTACCCTTTCAATCCATGTCCTCATGTCCCTTGGTGTATGCTCTCTGGATGGTGTCTTGGGGCACACACTAACCATCAGGGGATCCACACCCTGGGTTACAGTCCCTAGGCACAACCATCGTGTGAGTGCTTTCTCAACGTGGTCTCCTCCTTCCACTGCTGGTGGTCCCAGGTGCAAGGCTGAGCCCTGTGCGGGGCTGACGTGGCTCCATCCACTTCTTCATGGCATCAGGTCAGCCCCGGCATTGCAGGGTCAGTCTAGGTTTAAAGATTAACCAGTGTGGAGGTCTGGCCTTACAGCTACTTCTCTTTTTCTTTACTCTTCCCTGGCCCATGTGGGCACTGACGGTGCCACCTCATATGCATGCTCCCATTGCACAGGGATGGGCAGGTCCCCTCTCTCCTTTTAGCATCCAGGTAAGCACAGAAGGGAGAGAAGAAAGATTTATAGCAGAATAAGTGTGTTGGTACCAGATCCGAGGGCTGCATTTGGCCAGGACATCCTCAGGTGATGCTCCTGACTGGGAGGTTCAGAAACAGCCTCCAAACTGGAGAAGAAGGAGACAGAGCTTGGTAAGTCCTTGGAGGGGACAAAACGCTGTGATGGCCCTGACCACGAGCAGCCCTTGCAGTCCCAGCTCCAATGGAGGGGAAGCTCAGCTGTTTCCAGAGGTCTTGGCCACCAGCCCAAGGGATTTTCCCAAAGCCACGTGAGAGGGATGGGACCAGGCAGTGCCTGGGCACGTGCCCACCAGCCCTTTCCAGTGACGTGAGGGGGAGAGCAAGCGCTTGTGGCACTGCTCAGCCTCCCGGGAGGAACCCCATGTGACCATGAAGGGTTTCACCACTGTCCAGGAGAGCTGCTGCCCTTCCCTTAGGAAGGCCGGGTGAAACGAGGTTGCCCACCAGCCGCTCCTGGGGTTGCACCTTGCCACCCTGAGCATGTACGGGAAAGGAAGGGACACCCCGTTACACCAGGTGTGGAGACCTCCACGTCCTCGCTGCGGCACGGAGGGTCCGCTCCATTGTGCGGCGACTCGTTGGAGGGAGTTTGGGTTAAAAGGGGTTAACAGCTCTCTGCTGTAACACATGATTGGTCTTTATGAGGTTGAAACTCTTGTCTGTTTGAGGCCTACAGATGATGCTAAAGAGCACAATAATGACAGCAATTCAAAGCAATCTAATTATGCAAACGGGAGGCTAAACAATTTCATCATCCTTAAATTAGATTGTCCTAATGAGATAAAGACACCAATTAATCCTGAATTAATTTCAATAGCCTATTTCAGGCAAACACTTTAATATGCAAATGTAAATGAGAAACAAAGCCTACTGTAGAATGCCAGAGTTCAAAACCTCTCTCTGCACAGCTGCAGCGGGTGTAAATAGTGTCTAATGAGTTTGCATGGAAAGACACAACCAGTTGAAAATTTTAGACTTCATAAAGCACAGCCGGTGCCTCAGGTACGTGGCGGGAGGAGAGGGGGGACTCACTGGGCTGAGGCCGGGAAGGCCATCAGCCGCTCTCGGCAGGCCCACGCGGGATGGGTCCAGCCGCCGCCGCGGGATGAAGGGCTGTGACAAGATGCTGCTCCGTAAAGCCAAGTGCTTCACGCTGAGTACCTGGCCGGTCGCCTTTCTAGGACGCAGAGATGATTTTAATTAGCTGTTGCATAATTGTTTTAAATTAGCCATTTTGCTATGTACTCAAAAAAAAAAAAAAAAAAATCCGCTCCCGATTTTTTTCTTCTAGGCATTTGGCAGGGAAAAGGGCAGAGCCTGGGATTTAGGTTACAGGCAAAAGCAAACATCCTCTTGAGTTTCTCTTTACCTTGCACCCCTGCTATAACAAAGTACCACGAAGAGGAGGCTCCGGGGAGACCTAATAGCAGCCTTCCAGTACCTGAAGGGAGCCTACAGGAAGGCTGGGGAGAGCCTGTTTAGAAAGGCCTGCAGTGACAGGACGAGGGGCAATGGCTTCAAGCTGGAGGGGAACAGATTTAGATTGGAGATTAGGAGAGGGTTCTTCACTGTGAGGGTGGTGGAGCACTGGAACAGGTTGCCCAGGGAGGTGGTTGAGGCCCCATCCCTGGAGATATTCAAGGAGAGGCTCGACGAGGCCCTGGGCAACCTGGTCTAGTTGGGGGTGTCCCTGCTGACTGCGGGGAGGTCGGACTAGATGACCTTTGGAGGTCCCTTCAGGCCTGGGCAATTCTATGATTCTGTGATTCTATGAGCGTTTGCTTTGAGCCATCGAGGAAGCAAGCCCTCATGCCCAGGGCTTGACTGAGGTCTGACCTCCAATTTGCACTCTCCTTTAATTACAGACACTGGGCAGGGGTGCTACACAGGGGTCTGTGAAGGCAGCTATGGCAAATGATGGCATCGATGGTGAGGATCTGGTCTGAGTTAGTTATTCCTTCTGCTGTGTCTCCTCTCCAGCAGGTCCCAGGAATATGCCCTGGAGGAAGCTGTCAAAAAAAAAAAAAAAAAAAAAAAAAAGAAAAAAAAGAACAACAAAACCAAACTTTCATAATGAACATCTCTTGGATAATTTATCACTTTATCCCTCCTTCTTCTAAATCCATCCTGGGCTGCTGTGAGGGGATAACATAAGCCCAGGGAGGGTTTTTGTCCTTCCAAAAGTATTTCTTCATATATCACAACCCTAGATGTTCTTCCCCTTAAAAAGCCCATTCTCTCTTTGAATTTC